TTGAGGCTTGAGCTTTGTGTTCCACGCTCAAATTGTTTCACTCCTTTTTGGTAGAACATTGCTAAAAATAAAACTTTGAATCTCACAATTCAGACAACGCCAGCGCGAGTTTTCATTCAGTCCAAAGCAGTGGGCTTTGTCATACACTACGCTCTGATTCGAGTTAAATCTCACATATGTAGTTACCTACTTGCCTGGTCCATTCTGGATTATTTCATTTTATTACTCCCTCTTTTATTTTCATTTCGCCTGTCTTTATTAGCAGCCGTTTTCGTGAAGTGTTTTTTTTTTTTGCGGGATGAAGTGCCTTACTTCAGCGAAAATATAATTTCATTTATAACCCCTACCGGTTCCTAGGTATAGTTGCCCCAGCCAAGCTCAGCCCAAAGATCCCAGCCGAACCCAGACCAACCCATACCAGTCAAGTCGCAACTCGCAACCCATCCCCAGGCCCAGCCCAGTCAAGTCCAGCTAAGCCCATCCAAGCCCAAGCCAAGGCCAGCGACGACTAGCCAAGGCTAGACAAGACTAGCGAAAAGCAGCCAGGCCAGCCAGGCCCAGTCAAGTTCAGTTCAGCCCAGCCAAGCCCAGTCAGGACCAGTCAAGTCCATCCAAGCCTATGTACTATAGTTCAGTCGAGCCTAGTCTAGCCAATTCCAACAAAGCCCAGCCAAGTCCAGGCCATTTCAGCCAAGCCCAGCCAAACCAAGCCAAGCCAGGCCAGGTCCAGCCCAGTCCAGCCAAATCCAGTCAGGCTCAGCAAAGCCCAGCTAAGCCTAGCCAAGCCTAGCCAAGCCCATTCAAGCTCAGCCAAGATCAACCAAGCTCAATCCAGTTCAGCTAAACCCAGCCATGCCCAGACCCAGTCAAGCCCAGCCAAGCCCAGCCATGCCCAGTCAAGCCCAGCCAAGCCCAGCCAAGCCCAGCCGAGCCCAGCCAAGCCCAGCCGAGCCCAGCCAAGCCCAGCCAAGCCCAGCCAAGCCCAGCCAAGCCCAGCCAAGCCCAGCCAAGCCCAGCCAAGACTGGGCTAGGCTATCCAAACCTACCAAGACCAGCCAAACCGGGCCAAGCCCCATCCAAGCCCATCCAAGCCCAGCCAAGCCCAGTGGCGCCCCGCCCACCGTGGCTGGCGCTCAATTGATTGGCTGCGGGGGAGGCGGTGCCGTCGATCGACCGCGCGCCGTCTGGTGGGCCGGCCGCTAGATGTCGACGCGCCGCGCCGCGCGCCGGCCGGCACCCTATTGATCCCCGCGCCGTGGCCGCCGCCGGCCGTGCACCGTCTCCCGGTGAGTACCGGCGTGCTGGACGTGCTCCCGCCGTACCGGACGGCACGACCAGTTGCTGGGCCAGGGGAGCAGTTTGACACCTGGGGTAGGCGAGATGTGATGCCAGGGGAGGGCGGGTGACTGAATGTGTGGGAAAATGACGACTTATGTACTGAGGGGCGGGGCTGGAAAGGAGTTGCTTGGTTCCGTATAGTTGTCGATACTTTTATGAAGAAAGGATACGTTCAATTGTTTAAGGGGACAAATTCAATACATTTTGGTGGAAACTGATTTTGGCTGTTGTAAGGCACAAATGTCGATTCATTACCATTTAAATAGGCTTTGAGGGGCGGCTTGGCTACCGCTCTTTCATCTTTCATTCGGAATCGGCCCAGTAGTTACCGTCTCGATCTCGAGAACGGCTAGGCCGATTACGCTCAAATTTGGCACATCGCTAGAGACCGGTTGGTAGGGTGCAGTCCATAAGTTAGTTAGAGGTACCCCCTCACAATTTTGCACGTGCAAGGCCCACCCTCTCGCTCGCTCCGTTGGTCGCCCCAAAAGGCGTTTTACTGGTCTTAGAAAGGCTGATGAAACACGTTTGTTTCAAATTCTGTTTTAACTTTACATGCTCATCTTTGCAAGCGTTTTCTGCATAGTGAAGTCAGTTTTATAAATTTGGTTTATTTTGATAAATGGGTGCATGAATCTGTCTCTCTGTATTCAAGTGTGCGTATCACTGCTGTGGTGTTGTTTGTAGAAATGTTCTACATATGTGCCGTCAAAGAGTGCGTCATTGGCTGGCTGTCGTAGCAGATCACAGGGGTGCAGTGAAGCCCTCCATCGAGACTCGATTTTGAATATCATGCCAATAGAATGCATGGAAAAAACCGAGCCCTCAACCATCAATTCATTCATTCTGTATCATTCAATGCACTTTTATCTTTGCTCACATCACTGTTTTGAAAAGAAATGTTGCCCTGTGCATGAATTCCAGTCTAAAGAATGATGTGAAATCTGGTAAAAAACACTAACTCGTAGTTGATTCGAGAAAAGCATCTGGGCGCGAAATCAATGTTTTAAAAACATCGTGTCCCGTCTAAAGCGGGAAGACGATTCAGCGACCCAGTTAATGCTTCGCAGCCAATATTTCATGCAACTATAATTGTAAAGTCAAGCATTCATGTGTTATATTATGTCACGCACTTAGGAGTCTGGAGTGTTGTTGGCTTCTTTACATTTAGGAGTCTGCCGCAACATCGAGAAGAAAACATTAGGCATGGGAGCACTGGAGTGACTACTAACGTCCAACGATCTCTTTAGTGATAAGACTTGATTAGTCAAACTGTATTTCATACCTTCATCACGATAAATTATCAATAAAAATCATGAATCGGTGCAGTCCGCGCAGGCCACCACCACAACATTTTTCCTTAATCGTCGCCCTCTGCACCCGGAGGTGGGTGGGGACAGCACGCTGACCGATCGATGGCCGTAATCGGCGCCTCCCACCCAATCGCGCTCGTCTCCTGACTCGGCCAATTCCCCCAGCCCGCTGGGACACGGTAGGTATTCGGCCCGAGAAGGTCCCATGACTGGGGGAAAGATCTCGTGCTATGACGGTGGTGTATGGTGAGGATGTACAGTCTGTCTTAAAAGTACCGCGCAAAGTAACGGTGGATCCATCAAGCCTGACCGAGGAAGGGCCTGCTAAATTTGAATCACCGAAGCAATTGACATTCTCGACCACTCCCCAGGTCAATTGGTTCGGTGACTTTCAAATTATAGCAGGCTCTTCTTCGGTCAGGCTTGATGGATCCACCGTCACTTTGCGCGGTACTTTTAAGACAGACTGTACAGTCAGTCGAGGGACTGATCTGCATTTCTAAAAAAGATTAAACAATATTCACTTACACTATACACATTACTGTTTCGAATGTTTACGGCTTAGAATCGATACCAAGACATGGAACTAAGCAGTCAATACCTACGTCTTAGCTGTTGCGTTAGCAAATACAAATGTTCGATGTTCACCTCTGCGTTATCACTGTGTGATGACATTGCATGGATAAATGCGATTGGTATTTTGTCCTGTGCAATGTGCAATTATATTATTATTTAAGAAAGGATATGATCAATTCCTAGCATTCAATGTTTTTTTTCTGGCAAGAAGGACGAACCGAAACTTATTGCTGGTTTTCAGTCTTCTGTCTTTTATTCTGCAAAGTCTCTATTCTGACGTTAATGTCTGACCATTGAATTTTAGTAACCTCTCTCGTCGAAAAGAAAAACCGTCATATAATCATTCATGAAGGGAATGAAAGGGGATTTGTTAATCTCTTCCATGGAGCTAAAACCCCACACGGCTGCTGAAATAACAGTTTTCACTTGCTCGACTCCGCCAGGCGCCAGCGTCTGAAACAGCTTATCTTTAAAGGGAGCGGGCTATACTAACTATGTAGTCACCAGTCATATTCAGTCCGGTTCCATGCCTATCAGATTGTAAGATAGTGTCAGTAAAACGTTCAGATAGCCATCTTGAGGCCCAGTCATCCCATGTTTTCGGCTAAAAGCTCATCGACTGCAGCCACCCGACTCCGTGACCCTTCAGCTAGCTACTCAGAGATAGCCATTACCTCATTCTGTATCTGCAAGTGACCTTCCTCCATCCAACCGCGCTCACAGCCAGCCGCCACCCATATCTAAAACATGCCTCCAACCAGCCTCACTGGGTCAGTGTCCGCTCGTCTCTGCTCTGGTCTCTGACGAGTCGACCCAACACCGTCCAGTGGAGCCCCAGCGAGCCATTACAGCTATCCTGGCCGCGCCTGTGGGGGGCCACAGCTCGTTGGAGCGGCGGCCGGCGGCACGGCAGCAGCGTCCGTGTCACTCCGCTGCCCGGATAGGCGGAGAGAGGACCCAGATGCAACCGCAGGGCGACAAAATGGCCGGACCGAGAGCCACAAAAGCTCTGACCTTTACCGGAACTGCGGCAACTTTTTCCCAATATGAATATTGGGCCGCGTCAAACGAGTTATGGCTGGCGATAACTCCACGGAACTCAGCCGCTGTCGATGCTAAGTTGTAAAAATTCAAATACTTAAGTTACTAAATCTGTCGAAATCAGGCTCTGACAGTGAGAACTGGTCAGAGGTGTGGTTTGACGAGTTTTGTTGTTTCTAGTGAGGCAATTCCCGCTGGTTTGCGCCAAGTTTGCCCCCGTGGGAGTAAGGAGCTCTCACCAGAAGCCGTCTGTGTCGGCGATGTCGGTCGAGGCGACAGCTGAGTGCCCAGAAACCTAATCAGAACGGCGCAGACAGCCGGCCGTCCGCTTCGCCGCCTCTGCCGTCAATATCGCAGCTGATTTGACGGATTTCAGCCCAGTTCTGAGCAGGGCTGGCGGTGCTGACGGCGCTGCGGATCAGGATGGATCTGGTGGTGTCCTGCCGCCGCGAAAACAATTCACACGTGCAGCCTAATCACATCGTACTTGGCATTTACCCTTGTGCAGATTTGATCACCCCTGTTGAATAAATCGAGAACAGGAATAAGCTTTAAGACATGCAATTCTGGAATATGAAACAATTTAAAAATGAATAAAACGAACAAGTTATTTAAATGTTCTTTGTGTAATCCATATGCTCATTCTTGCTTTGCGCATCTCATTTTGCACCTCAATTATTCAGTTTTCTTCGTATGGGGCATTTTTAGTTAAAATATATTTCGATATTCCGTATGCACGCCATCTCAAGGATTCAGTTCTTCAGCCACCGCAAACGAGAGTCGGTCATTGCCTCAGAGGGGCGCCGAGGCATGCTGCACATTGTCTCTGGCCGCTCCCTGGCCAGCGTCGCTAACGATACGGCCGCCGCGAGCGGTCCGTCGGTAATTGACGGCTCCGGGATCCGTCGCCGGCTCATTTCGGAGCTATTTCCAGACGGCGTAACGCGAGAGACGTACAAGAACCTCAGACAGGCGGCCGGTTTATCGGTGTCTCGGCGGCAGCTCAATATGAAAAGAGCATGGCCAGGTATTGATCTGGGCGTGTGGCTTGGTGGCTGACAGAAGGAAGCTGAAGCAAGTAAATGGATCTGTTTGCGTCAGAGCTGGGTGAATGTATGGGTAATGCCGCTGTCTCATTAATGCTGGGTCTTGTGTGAGATTGAATGCAAATACTCCGCATTACTCACGTATTACTCGTATATTTCACTTCTCGCGTCACGCATGGATTTCTACTTCTGCTAGGTCATGCGGCTGCGTGCTATGCAATGACAGCTACTAAGAGCATGTGGGAAAAATGAAAGAGAAAAGGAAGATACGTCTCGATGGAAGTGTCATAACATCCCATATTTATGGCTGGTTTACCAAGAGTTGTGCTTACTCCTTCATTACGCTCGTAATCAGTGAAGATGCATAACGCTATAGCTAACATTCAGTGTCCATACATCCGACTTATATCCGTCTTATCTCATCCGTCTCATGGAAAGCCTTCGCAATGCTCGAAACCGATCCGTATTGTGGTGGCAAGATGGCATATTTGAAACGTTCGCCCTTTTGCTGTACGGTCCGAAACTTTATAGGTACCCGTTCGGAGGAGTCATGCTTTTGGCGACAAATGCTCGTCTCTGTCACCATTTCTCATCCCTCCACGAATTCCAACAGCTCAGCAAGTTATTTCCAGTTTATCGACAAGTCCCTTGACGATATGAAAGGGAACGGTGCACATGATATAAATGCATTCACGCTGTCATTCATCAACAAAGCCCTGTCTTTATCGGGCGTTGTCTCATGCACAACCACAAGTACAACTCGCTTGACATTTTGACAGCGGTTACTGGATGCTACGGCGGTGCCTCAGTGTTTGTCGCCCCCACTTGTGGTGCTAATGTATTCAGCTGCTGCGGCGACGGCGCCATCACTGTCACCCCTCCCCTCCCTCCCCGAACTCCCCCGACACCAGCCCGCCCCCAACCCGCCCGGTCAGGGTCTGCGCCGGTCGGCTGGGTACCGATTTATGTTCAAAGTCCGCTCCCATCGACTATAGAACCGACCAAGCTGCTGCAGCTTCCTCACATGGCAGGCCGCGTCATTTCCTGGTTGTAGTCTGCGCAGAGAGAAGTCGGCTCATGGCCACGCCCCTCACGGTGGACCGCTTCTCCTTGCGGTGGATTGCTCCCATCGGCTCTCAAGGTCAAGGTGGACCGCTGTAACTATCTTACATGGGGCGACCATATACGACGCTCAGTTAGCTACTACAGGGGTTATTTATAGCTAGATTAGAAGAGCTAATTTGCTTTATTACCGTGCCATTTGAACGTGTGACATTCTCAATCATTTTACGTCAAATGACTCGTCATCGAGCTAACTAATTGGGCGACAGTGGTAATTTACGAATATTTCACTTGCGGATATAGATGCATACCTACGTTTGTTACGAGCTTGATGGTGGCATGTGTGCACCTATGGATTTGCCTGAATGATTTATGAGCTGCGTGGGCATTAGTTACATCTTGAGTGGTTTGTAAGTTGCTACGTTTCCATACCATTACAAAATGTAATTTGATTTTGTTCCAAGGTCCTTGCTACACAAACGCCATACGTACAGACTTCGCTCCGCTGAAAACTTTTGACGAACCTACTTCGTCAAATCATATGACTAAGCTGAAAACCTAAACGAAATGTAAAGCTCTTGTGGTGCTGAACTCATCCAAAAGAACAGAAATGTCAGCGTCCGTGCTGAAAGCGGATCACGTAGCTGCCTCAAAGCCAACCACCGAAACTGGTGTAGAGCACTCCAGTTCTAAGCCGTAACCCGGTGTACCGAGCTTCACTCGCGTGTTCGCGTTAACTCGATGAGATGAAGCTCTCCAGCGTGAAGCAGCCGCTGGGGGCGGTGTGACACGCCTAACTGTCGTCACCAGCGCAGCTCTGGACTGTCCGGAAAGGTCACCAACCGACGACTAGGCTGGCAGAGACTGACGGCCTGTTTGAACTTCCAAATTGGATGACTGATTGGCGATGTCAGCCTGATTAGGTTTGGTTATCAACAGCCCTATTCACGAGAGTTTCCAGAGTGTGCTGTCGATGGATTTCATTTTTGTTAACTCAACCGAGTTTATTTCATCATCAAAATTTGAGCGACCAACGCTTTGAGGAGAAAAGTTAGCCTTGTTTGGTGTGCAGTTTAAATATAAATTACATCGCACTATAAACTACCTTTCCTGCCAGCGTGATGCAACGGATTAGGTTCTCTCTCAACAAAGTTTACAAAAGATCCTGTTAGATTTTATCGCATGGGTGGCGCAGTCCAGACAAAATCCAATTAAGTGAGCCCACGGTGGAACCCCGGCCGTCTCCTGGGCTGCATAGAAAGCAGATGTCTCAAGGCAGAGGTCTCCACCGGAGACAGATTGCTGCAGGTGACCTCCGCCCTGTGCAGGTCGGGTCGGCGCTGTCGGCCCGGGACGAATCGCTCATATTCCGGCGCGCAGTCCATTCAGGCGGTGCTCAGCCGCAGTCGGCGCTCCGTCTGCCCCCATTGACAGATAACCAGAGGCGTCAATGTGTTTGATGGCCTAGTGACGTCATGCCGAGGCAGGGCCAGCAATAGGCGGTGATTACTTGACGGTGCAGCGAAAGAACGTGAAGTTTCTTATAAACTGTGTATGGAGCAGAAATGCAACGGTAAACGTTTTGTGTCGGAAGACTTTCTTAGCTAACATATTCTTCTGTATTTTCAGATAACTGCCGTAGTTACGGCACTCTTTTCTACATCACAGGTCTCCAAAAGAAGTCAAAATTGCTTCCTTTCTGAGCTTCAAGCAGTCCTTTACTGCTAATGTCTCCAATCTCAAAAGGAGGTAAGACGGCTGGCCAATGACGAGGCAGGAAGGTGTTATAATCAGGTATTTAGGTGCCCTTTGGTTTTTCATTCATTTTTACGCTACATGTGTCATTCCCGTGCTCACTTGGAGGACCATAATGCATGTGCTTTGTCTGTGGCAATCAGGGTCAAGGTATGGCTGCCAAGCCACCTCGTGCCTCCGAGTCATTTCAGTGAGTAAGCGGATTATGTGCACTTTGTTGATGGTTCATGAGGAATACTGCTTCCTTCCACGTGACGGCTGGTGTAAGATCAACATTCAACAAGTGTAACACTTACAGGGCGGCTGTGTCGTGATATGCCCGCCCATAGCTATACGCTGTGTCATGCACATATTTACCTATACAAGCTAAAAAAAAGACAAAGAAGCATAATTTACATATATGACTCACGACATATTTAGATTTCTCGTTTGCCCTTTAATTATCCTTTTTCGTTCACTTTCGTTTACAAATGCAATGCAAGCTTGACTGTTTTATAAAGTGTACATTATATCATTATATTGTACATTGTATTTTATATCAGCGATGTTATTTTCATAAAATCCGAGTAGGATAGTGCCAAGCTAAAGATCAGCTTAATTTTTTATTCAGTTTATTGAAAGGTGATCTATGAGGCATACGTTTGTCAAGAACTTAGCAATAGGACGCCGTTAAGTGACAAAGTCAGGTGGATCGACTCTAAATACTACAGGCTCGTTTCCCCGATTCACTCTGAACCGGTCCCAACTTCTCGAGTCCCATACATCATGCATGCAGCCTGCTAATTTCGCCCTAAATCCGTTTCAAGTTGAGGAGCGGCGCCTAACTTGGCGTGTGCGCCGAAACGGTCGAACCGAACGTCCGTGAGCGCCGCGTCCGCCCGAGACGGAATCGGGCTGCCCCTCCCATGTAGTTCCCGACCAACATCGATTCAACGGCGGGCAGCGGCGGCGGTGGCGGCGGCGCGGCGCGGCGCGGCAGCGGGCGCGTCCCCTGATGTCGGCCATAACCGCAGCGTGGCGCGGGGTCCAGTTCAGAGCCAGCCCCGGCCCCCAATTGTCTGAGTGGTGCCCGATGGCCCGACCATCGGACACAACGACAGTCTGCGCCGTCGCCGGGCCGGCGGCGATTCGACGGTCGGTAGTCTCCCGGAAGCTCTCTGCGGAGCCGGGCCGTCCGGCGCCGGTCGTCATACGTTTACGGAGAATCACGTCCAGTTAGGTCATCCCGCGGGGGCTGGGTCGGTTCAGAGGAGACCGCCGGCCATCAGGTGGGATAGGGTCGGCGCCTGCCGTCGCCCCGGCACATCGATCTGTCTCTGCCCGCGCCGGGTGTCTGGCCCAGCGTGGATCACGTGGCGGTAGTATATGGAGTCGGGGGAGCAGCGGGCGTGGTCGCACAGCGAGGTTTGAGTCACACCGCAGCTGACAGGGAGCTGACAGAAGGCCCGCTTCTCACCAGCTCGCTAATGTAGGCCACCACGCCAGTAAAACGCAGAGGACTTACAATGCGGAGGCGAAAACATGTCCGGGAGAGAGTGCCCAAGTGCTGTGTTATTAGCTATAGCTCATAATTGAAAGCGTTTTCCCCGATTTTTAAACGTAGCCAAAGAAGAGTTGCAGCATTGCTAAGATGCAGACAGGCTATGTTGCAGCATTTCATTGCAACGTATTGTGAACACACCGTCATATAACGAATAAACATGTTCGTAAACAATGAATGTACAATATACGTGGAAATTAATATTTCCAGCGTAGAGCATACTCTTCTTAAGGTTTTTTCTTCTAACTGGTAGGCTGTGCGTACCGTCAGAAATGTGCATCCGCAATTCCACAATATTCCAAGTAGACATCATTTATTCATTGTATGTCCGTGGGGTAGGTATGCATTTGAATTATAGGTAATGTGCTGCAGCCGTAGCCATATAAGCCATTATGCACACAGCTTATGAAATTTTAAACGTGTAGTTAAGCAGGGTCCCACATATTAATTGAGCTACTTAGCTAGAAATAATCGTCTATGCACACTCAACGCTTTCCGTTTAGTATCAAGCATCATGCACAAATGATATGCAATTAGCAGTTGACATTCCTTATGAGATCTTCAAACCACAGTTAGCATCGCAATGGGGATAATGTCAGCAAAAGTTGCGACATTTAGAGGATGAAATTACGCTCGTTGGGTGTAAGGAATCCCAACCACTTTCTGTTACAAAACTGGCTCAGTCTGGCGCCTCCAAATTGTTGGCTTTCGGGCGGCAACGGCAATCACGTGCCGCAACGCATGGCCTACGGAAGATGTTCAATAAATAACTGAACGGCGACGGACATTTTCCATTCGGGCCGCGGCAGCTACAGATGAGTTGTGCTGTGTTTCACAGATTCAGTTCCGGCGACTTGGCGTCGGAGTATGAGGATGGGGACGAGGTGCGGCAGCGTCAGGCGGACGTTGTAAACCAAACCCCGGCGCCTGCTGCGGTTGGCTCGGCCCCCGCCCAGCCGGCGGCTGGTGGTAGCGCACCGCCGGCCCCCCAGCAGCAGCAGCACCAGCAGCAACACCAACAACAACAACAGCAGCAGCAACAACAACAACAGCAGCAACAGCAGCAGCAGGAGAGCTCCGGGTTCAGCTTTGGCACGTTCCGTCCCGGCGGCCGGACTACCTCTGCACCCAGCAGTCCGAGCAAGACGCGGGAGTCGTTCCTACAGCGGGTGCAGAGCCTCACCTCAGGCGTCACCAGGTGAGAATGAGTCGTGAAGTGGTGTCAGGTGGTGAGAATGTGTCCCACTTAAATGGAGTCACTTCTCACCATGAAGGAATAAGCAATGGATTTCTCCATCTCGCTGCGCTTGCAAACACATGACTGGTGGATACGGGTCTACGTATTCCGTTCAGCTCCGACCTTTCCAAGCGAGCGCCCGGAAAAAAACGAGATGTGGGGCCTGGGATTGATTTTCGGTGGTTGTTTGAAAACAATTTTGCATTGTAATGGGTAGTACTTGTGGGCACCGGTATGATCGTGGTATTGTTCATATGCAAAGTCAAAAGAAATTTTCATATTTTTTGAAAGATTGCACAAGTTTTTCATGAATGCATTCACAAGCAAACACTATTGCTCAAGTGATTAGTTCAAGCGTCTGATTACGCGACATGAAATATCGCCAGTTCTAAATTAAATCAGTTGAGCTGCAGCGGTCTTCAAATATGTCATCCCAAACGATATTGGAATGTGACCTTTCCTCTCAACTTTAATTGAAGACGCTCAGTATGAGGGTCAAGCTGTTTCAGGCGACATTTCTTCCCGGGTCAACCCGGAAATGAACGTCTCATTTCAGTACGGCGCTGCAGCCAAGGCACCATTATAAGGCGGTAGGGCTTGAGTGATGAAGTTTAGGAAGATGACGATGATAATGATGATGATGATGATCATCATCATCAGCAGCATCATAACACTCATAACACTTACTACTTATTCTGGCACTGGAAATGTTCATTTTTTTCGGTCATGCTGAATCATAACCTTTACTATACTAACACCACCTTAGCTTAATGAGACACTAAAATGCCCTTGCGGTCCCCCTATTGCTGGTCCCAAGGCCGCTGGTCCACTCCACATGCCTTCCGGTGTCATAACGCCCCGACTTTCCGCTATTGTCTTCGTAAACCTCGCTGTTTTCCCGCTGAAGTGCTTCCTGTTTGTTCTAGGCCCGATGGACCTCTGCGGCAAACGTTCAACAAGGACCGGTGCTTTACGCTGTTGGTCATCGATGATCAAAACACCGACTGGTGAGTCTGGGCAATAGCTGAGTGCTGTTTTAATCAGGCTCGCAGATGTGTTGATAAAGGGTGAAGCGACATGCACAGAGACGAGTATTCGATTCATTTGGAGAATGATGGCGCTCTGTAGGCATGAACAGTTTTTACACAGCTTGTAGTAAAGTTGAAATTAATTGTTATGTGAGTTAACGCTTCACGCCCGGATTTAGGCATTCCGATATTCACCCGACTACAGAATGACAAAAGCTGTTGCATCAGGTGTATCCACACCTCTTTCCGTTGTCTGTACTCGATCCCTCAACCCCGTCGAACAAAACTCTTCCGCGTGACACGTCCATTCGATCCACATTCCATAGCCCCTTACAACATGGCGGTGAATCAGCGAAACTTCCCTCCCGGCCTCCCTGATACACGCGGTCAGCGTTGTCGCTCCATAGACCTCTGGACAATGAGTCAGCTCACACAACCCCCGGGACTGCACCTGTCCGATACTGGCTCAGTGGACGGTCGAGCGGACGTAATCGATGGGTGGTATTAGATTGTGATGGTGCAGCTAAGAATAGTCGCGTGAGGGGCGCTCTGTCTTTTAGAGACACCTCACTGGGGCTGGCTATGTGCTGGTTGTGATGTAGGGAGGGCAGTGGAGTGTAGAATGTTGTTCGAATAGCCGTTTGTTGTTGCTGATGGAGCGATGTCATGAAGAGATGATAAACAGGTGTAGACCCATCGAATATGGAACCGAATTGGAAAACGAAAAAAAAAACGAAACATAACATAACGCTCTCAGATAAGACGTGTACGACAGCATTGAAGCGAGATGGGATAAAAATACGTTTCATTTTTTCTTCAAAAGTCCTTCATTTTCATCGTATTTACATATAATGTTAGGCGTCTTTTCCACTAGTGACAAACAGATCCCGGTATTCACCTTAGGTATTTAGGGGGCCTGCTTTCTCATTCAAAAGACGTATGGACCTTACTCTTGAACCTTGCTAAAATAGACAAGGTGAACAGATGCAGCACCACATGGGCATTCATGTTACCACATGCTTGGCATCTAAAGTAAGCATTAAATATGCTAGACAAAATTCTCTTGGCTACCAGGGCAGTCCAGACTGGAGGCCAAGTGGGCATTGGGCACATGTAAAAGTCGCCTCAGCTGCAGCCTGCAAAATAGCACGCCCAGTTAAAATGACTATCAGGAGCAAAAGAATATTCATTACTGATAGGTGTCGCAAAATGATCTGCGACCAACTGGAGTTATAAGCGTTTTTGTGCGTTTGGTGTGTTTGTGGGTACGTTGTGCGCTGACTTATCTCCTGTGCACAATAATTACATGTTTTACTCATTACCGTCAGGTCAAAGTACTTCAAAGGCCGTCAGATCCACGGCGACTATGACATCCGGGTGGAGCAGGCGGAGTTCCGTGAGATCTCTGTCAGCGGCAGTGCAGAGAGCGGCACCCACGTGACCATGGTGGTGCACAGGGGCGGCACCAGGGTCGTCAGGTGAGGGGGCGCAGGGGCGGCACCAGGGTGGTCAGGTAAGGGAGGTCACAGAGGCGGCACCAGGGTCGTCAGGTGAGGGGGCGCAGGGGCGGCATCAGGGAGGTCAGGTGAGGGGGCGCAGGGGCGGCACCAGGGTCGTCAGGTGAGGGGGCGCAGGGGCGGCACCAGGGAGGTTAGGTGACGGGGCACTGGGGTGGTATTAGTTTTTATTTGTTAAATCGTGGGCTGTGTTACAAAACTCGTTGAATGTTGCATAGTTAACGTTCTGTCCTGTTAATAAAGATGTAGAACTCCGTATTTCACTTCTAAAAAAATAGATCAAATACACATAATTTTATCAACATCTGTAATAACTCACATGACACAGACTCAAACAATGAAAAGGATGAAAAGTTACGAGTTTGAAAACGGCAATGCCATCCAACTCTATGTCGACACCGTCGTGACTGACCTGTTGCGCCGCCCGCAGGTCATTCAAGCCGCACTTTGTGCTGGTGAGGCAGAATCTGCGAGACGCCTCCGAGGACCACAAAAACCTGCTGCTCGGGCTGAAATACGGAGACATTCCGTCCATCAACAGTCTGCAGGCCATCTATAACTTCCAGGTCAGTTAGTGCTACCACCGAGCAGTGGAAATTCGGAGAATACGTAGAGCAGGGAGTTGCAGGAAAATGAACAATGAAAGACATTTAAGTGTATTTTTTGGAAAGAATATTATTATTTGTGGTAGTTTTGGTATCGCTATATCATCCTTGTTTGTTCAACACTATTAGTGCAGTTCTAGTGCTCATGTGTGAGAAAAGTTGCGACGAGTTTTAACGTGTGTACACCTGCAACTGAAGTTTGTTGAGCGTTTAGCGTTCATGGTTCGCAGGTACATACACATTAACTTTCCGTGCCGGCTGTTCGACAGACTGACCCCGGAGACTTCGCAGAGTTTGCACATTAACTCATGGTGTCCGGATTGTTTCAGGACAAGCCGTGGGTGTTTGCGCACTTGCTACAGCTACAGAAGAGGCTCGGAAAAGACGCCTTCCCTCTGATCGACCAGTCGTACTTCCCCAACCACAAGGAAATGGTGAGTAGCAGACGGTGTGTGTATTTCACCAGTCATAGAAGTTTGATGTAAAACTATTGCTATGAATTTTATAGTTAGGTATATTTAAGTATTTTCTTTCAAGCCATTCATAAATGGTTATTGCGGCCGTAATTCATTAAATTGAAGCCTGAAACTGATAGACAGCACTGAGCAACGACCGCAGGTCTTCAACCAGGGAAGCTGTAAAAACTTCTTCATGTTGACTCATTTCCTTTTGACGGTCATTCCACTTGTCGGACTTTATAGCTTCAAACGAATGGTCAGTAACCGAAGCCAACCACATTGCACCCGTCACGATCAACTGAACATTATTCTGCGTGGAAGAAAGGGTGTGCGGTCAACGTCCACAATACATCAGGCCAGCAATAACACACGTGTAGCGTGATTTCAGCATTTATATTTCCGCGTCATTCTAAGCATAAAAGAAAAAGGAAAAAGGAATGCGTTCTCGGTTCTGTTTCTCTGGTAAACGTCAAAGACTCAAATTAATATGGTTTCTCCATTCCGTCCTACTGTCATGAGGTTTCTGATCAAACAGAAAACTTATATCAGGATTTGGGCCACAGACTCTGCGTCTGCCTTTGTGAGTCCAAACGTTTGAGTTTACTCCATGAGTAGCACAAACCCTTACTACTGACCACAATACTAGTCTCATCCACATTCCAACGTGCACAGTTTGCGAGTTGCGTCCGATTTCACCACCCACCTGCCTCCCTATACCACCCGCAGTGTATGTCCGCCGCCGCGCAGCGGTGCTGATTGTTTTTGGCCATTGTGTCTCAGCCGTCGCCAGCTGCTGGGCTCTGTTAGCCCTATCGACCGCGGTGTTACCGAAGACCGCTGAGTGCGGTCCCAGCCAGCGCAGCGAGTCTCCCGGGGAAGCGGCAAAGTAACTGGCTGGGGAGGGGAGACGGGGAAATGGAGGAAAAACAACACGGCCTTTAGGATCCCGGAAAGAAATCTCTTGTCGTGGAACTTGTAATGGGGAGTGTATTCAGATGCAAAATGATGGTGAAATATCATTGCGTGGTAAGACGGATTACATCAGCGGAATTCCAATAATCCTTCTCACATCCCGCCCACTGATATCAAATACTAGCATCGACAAATCTCATTTCACGGACTGCGAGGATTTATCCACCACGGCTGTGCAATTTCCGAGGGGCCGGTCGTAGGCCGGGAGGCAGAGTGTTGTCGGCTGCCGGGAGAGGAGGACGCTGCTCTAGCTGGATGAAATGGGCTTAGGTAGGCTTGGGCCACGGACTTCGCTATACCATATGCAGAGACCTTTGTTGGAGGACCAGATTAAATAAAGATTATTGGTGAAGTAATGAAGCTATTGAACAGTCGAGTCATTAACATATGGAACAACGAACGATTATATCTACATACATTTCAAGGATATCCGAGAAGATACTGAACCTAAACACGCCCGGAAGATCAATATCTGCGTCTTGTAATGGGTACGGCCGGCCTGGTAACAGTCGCACAGGTCGGCCACCAGTCACCGTGTGTCAGACGACGCTACGTCGAGCATGCTGCGCGGCCGTGCACTGCCGACAACCGCAGATGAATTGTCCAGGAGCAGGGAGCGAGACTGGCGTTTGAGCCGGGGGAGAGCTGGGGTCTGGGCTGGGACAGAGCTGGTGTGTCGAGGCTGCTCGGAGCTGGGACTGTCGCCCGCGGCTGGAGCAGGGAAGAAGAGAGGGAACCGCGTCGCCAGCGAGCCTCATCGCGGACTCTGGGTGATGCCTGTCGTTCAGCCATTCCGTCGCAGCGGCAGGAGATTTGCCCTGATGCTAGTTCCGGTGGCTTTATGAGGCTGGATCATCGAGACCGGCTTTGGTATAATGAGTTTCTTGGTAGTATCCCAAAAAGACGCGTTGTTTTGTCCGTTTTACGGAACCTGAATCCCGGGAATAAAAGGGGTCATTAAAATAACATAAATCGGTAGTCGTTATGCAGTAATCGCGTAAACGTTTTTGAGGAATATTAGTTGAAAACTCTGACACTCAGTACCAAACTCTTTTGCAATAATAAACCTATTTTGGCGGCAATATGAGCTGAACTTTATTTCAGACATACGCACAGTGGTATTTCATAGCCCTCGATTTTTTATTTGTTTGTTTGAAATAGCTAAAATACTCTAGGAACAAGTCATTCCAATATGCTATCCAGTGTCCGTTGCTGTGATACTGAGAGGGCGATAGAAGCGTAATGCATGTGTATCCTATGTGAATCCCATCTGAGCTCCGTTCAGCATTGATATTTGATTGATATGGGTAGAGAGGCTTAGGTCGGAACGCGGGGAGGCTCCCAACTTAGCCGGGAACGGGAGTTGGGGGGGGGGGAGGGGATTGAATAGACTTCGGATTCGGAAGGATGTCGCATTCTCCGAAACTTGATACATAATGATGGATCTATGTGCCTATAAGACCGACTGCTGTCGACCAGATATACCCAGGCCTACGAGCTCAGTGCCGTTCAAGAAGCGTCGTTGAAAGTTGATCAGTTTCTCGATGATTTTGTTTGCTCGCGAACGCTCGATTGCTTCGCCTTAGGTTCTCGGTATGCTTCCCAAATATCTAGAATCATTGACAACGCAATAGCGAATCACATAGGCCATCACAACATCCGCCTCGCTGCTTACGCGGTTTGAGTGGAACCCAATCAGCGGCAAATGGTTGGGAAAAAAGTTCGACATAAGGGTCGTTTAGATTTGAGTGATTAAGATTTGAATTAATTAAATCACCTTTAATCGGAGAGTAAACATGATTAGAATGTGTATACATTTGTACTGATCAACCACTGGCGTCTCATATAACCCAGTCTCTGTCCTAATTTTCAGATGTCTAACACCAAGTTCCCAGTGGTGTTCAAAGTGGGGCACGCGCACAACGGTGCTGGCAAGGTGCGCGTAGAGTCCCCCAACTCGTTCCAAGACATGGCCTCTGTTGTGGGCGTTGCAGGCGCCTATTGCACCACCGAGCCCTTCATCGACGCCAAATACGATCTGCACATCCAGAAAATCGGCACCAACTACAAGGCTTTCATGTGAGTTCCATGGCGATAAGGGATTCAACATGGGGTTCTGGAATGGATGTATGTAAGTTGAGCTGGAATATGAAAATCTATCGTCTCTACTGTCGATGGTCTTAGATACCTTAAGAATTATGTGATTCATGGGTTAATGTTAGAGAACGATGATGGGATGCATGAGATCTGGGCCAGATATGAGAACATTAGCGATCCATTACGTCTATGCCGCGCATCATTAGGTAGTCGATAACACGGAACGATTACTTATTGACTATTGAGCACCGTCGATGTATACCCTGCCGGCCGCCATATGTCTTCCAAAAATAATTGTACTTCCTATTACAAAACGCCCGCAGTGCGCAAGTCTATTATCATCGTTCAGCGACAGTCAGAGAAATAATTAGACAATCAGTCAGCTCTCAACAATCGTGTATGCGCTCGGAAACGCTTGATGTCTCGCTCCCTCCACAGGCGTAAGTCTATCAGCGGCAACTGGAAGACCAACGTGGGCTCGGCAATGCTGGAGCAGCTGCCGCTCACGGATCGCTACCGCAGCTGGGTGACGGCCGTCTCCCAGCTGTTCGGCGGCCTGGACATCTGCGCGCTGGAGGCTGTCGTCGGGAAGGACGGCAAGGAGCACATCATCGAGGTGAACGACTCGGCGCTGACCCTGATGGGCGATAGCCAGGAGGAGGACCGCCGCCATATTGCCGAACTCGTCTGCGCCAAAATGCAGGTGAGATGGGGGTGCTGAGAAGATCGCTAAAAGGGAGAAAAACGACGAAACACTGCCGTGTTCTACCTACCGCACGGTGAATCCGAAAGTATGCGCATGAGCCGTTGTTTTACCAGATACCGAGCGGTGTCTGGCAAAGTGGTAGGTGAATCTGCTCACGTAAGTTATACGCTATATGCGTAGAGATGAAATGCCGAAAAGAGTTCTGCGCTGCAGTATCCACCAGGTTTTATACGCTAGCGCGCTATCTGTTGAGCGATACGCGAGCTGCCCAAAGTGCCCGAGTCGTGCGGCACAGCATCATTCAGGCGCTATCGCTAGGGCCATCTAGCGTGTGATTTAGAAACTAACCACTGCCCTGCGGTACAGCATCGTTCAGGCGCCATACAGCAGAGCCATCTATCGAGAAACGCAGCAACATCTGAGCAATGCGGCACGCCGGCACAGCATGACGCAGGCGCAATGCACTACAGCCATCTAGGGAGCGAAACCCGAACTGCTGGCCCTGCAGCGCATCAACCAGACGTCGTACTCTTACGCATTACTTTTCATCCCTGTTTCACCTCTGAAAACAAGTTCATTCCAGCTTCTTGCCTTGGCCCTACTTCAATCTACCGATTAGCACTGACCACCACGCTGCCCTTTCTTCCAGCACTGCTGTAAGCCGGCAGGCAGCTCTGGGGCGGCAGCCGCTGGCACGGCGGGGGCGGGGGCGGCACCCGAGCCGGCGCACCCACCGCCGCCGCCGCCGGTACCTCCGCGGCCTGAGGAGCCGCCAGCGCCTCCCTCGGCGGCGCCCAATGGCTCCACTGTGGCCAACGAGTCACCGTCGCCGGGACGGCGGCGCGACTCGCAAGGTAGGTGACGACCAGCGACCCGAAGCGAACAGCATGGGGCACCAAATCACGAGAACGGCGTCGACTGCCGCGGGCATCTGCGGCACCTGGCTTCGTCTTCTTATCGGGGGACAAAAAAGGATGTGACTGGGCTTTGAGGTCGTGATATAGGTTTCCTCGTACCTAATGGTGATAGACGGAAGGGTTACTCTACAATACATATTTAGAGCTCAAAAGTGATGCTTGTTTAGTTACATCCGGGAGAAAACAGGTTGAAAAAACGGCAGATGCGTCAGTCTCGGAATTCCAGCACCCTTAAGCCCTTTTTGGTGTGAACAAGCACTTGCCGTTGCCACTCTGACCGTCTAAGTGTCTTTCCTCTGACCGTCCTGACCACCCTCGTGTTCGACAGCGTCCCAGAGCAGCAGCGTGAGCGGTGTGAGCAGCACCAGCGCGGGCCGCACCATTCAGACGGCGGCCAGCATCGATGCGGCGCGCACCAGCCTGTTCGGACGACAGGGCTCCGTCTCTCAGGGAGACAAGGACGACACCGAGGACACCATGACCAACCTGAGGAAGACGTTCGCGGGCATATTCGGCGACATGTAATTGATGCTGCCGGCGATCGAGCGCGGACGGACGGACGGGACGCACGGTGGCGGCACCTGGCGATTTCGGAAGCCTTGGGATTCATGCGGAAAGCGTTGTTGGTTTTGTAGAGGTTCGGTTGTGTCAGAGTTACGGGTGATAGCAGGGATATTTATTGCGGGCGTTGAATACATATACTCATTTTCCGATAGGCGAATTCATGTAGGCATGCTGAATGCTGATGCCTGGTGCATATCTTATTGTGCTGCTTTGGCGTGAATTCCAAGGCTTTCGAAATCTCACGTGTAGTCTGCCACCGAGCTGTGCCCGAAGGCGCCGATACCTCCCTGGGTTCTGCCTTATTTTTCTACCGCGGGTTTCCGGCCGATTCTCTTTGATTCCGTGGCTGGGCATGTCAGCGAAATGGCCCGTAACTGTTCCGGAACTGAGCGCGGCGCTAGCGAACCCGGCAGGTACTCACCGATCACGAATCTCAAACGCTGCCCCGACGCTTACACAGAGACACGCGGGAAATTAAGGCAAAAGCCTTGCAACTCAAGGGAGGCGTCAGGGGACGGTGTTTATAATGACCTGAAGCTGTTAAGAACGGACTCAACAGGTATAATGCTAACATTGTAAGAAAAAAAACATCTACCTTCGCCGTTCTACCGACGTAAGCTCGCAACAAAGTGGTGGTCTAAAAAGCTTAAGAACATGCTGCGCATGTGATTTCTCCCTGCGATCACCGCATGTGGTATTCAGTTATCTTTTCCTTCGCCAGCCCAAATCCGTGACCAACATTTGGAAGTGACGATTTTGATGCGGCCCGTCTGTTGAAAAGAATTCTGTCTTGAGCGACCCATGAGGTGCGATCTTCATATCCCAACTCCCGCCCGGTTCCACATATCGCGGCAGAAGAGGAGGGCTACGGGCATTGTTATTCATTGGGCAATAAGTCTAGTCAGCTTGTCGTTCCAGGTCAGCCTCGGAACGCAGTGATCCCAGATTGATTACTAGTTAAGTTTGTGCATAGTCATTGGGAAGAAACGCTTCTTGAACCGGACGACTCTGATCGAGAAACAGCCGAGATAGCTGGAGGATTACCGAATAATTCACGAAACTCGAGTGACGATACCGCTCAACGCTTCACAAATGAATCAAGATAAATTAACACCAAAAGTGTGCTCAGTAGCACGGTTTGTAAAACAAAAACCGACGAATCGGAAGGCGGAGAAAGTGTCGCCGGTGAGTATTCGGCGGGCCCACCTAGTCGGTATTCCACCGTGGTTTAGGGGTAGCATCTCGCCACGAACGTCAGTCTCGTGCTGGTTTCTGCGCGTGCGTTTGATCTCAGAGTGCCGGCGCGGCGCCGAACCGCCGTCGGCGCGCCGTTCCGTTGACGTGAGATAGCTTTCCAGTGCCGTGTGCGCGCGCTGCTTTGTACGTGTGTAGCTGCTAGGTCCGGCCGGCCCCGCCGTGGGCTCTGTGTCCGGTTCAATTACTCGCCCGTTGGTCGTGTTCTGTGTCTTTCCTTGCTGTGGTGCTCCAGCTGGCCTGGCATCGGTCTGTGTCATCACCGGTCCGTCGGCGGCGACACGACTGGCCACCGACCGTCTCCCTGTATGTCGTCTGTCAGCTCCTCTGCCCATCCCAGGGCCTCTCAGTGTCAGTCGCCCTCTCTCCTTTCTCCACCTTACTCTCCTTCCCTTCTCTCTTTCTCCCTCTTCTCTGTGCGTGTCACACCGGGCGCGGCCTGGAATATAGTACATGTGGTGGATGTTTTGACTTTGTCACACGGTGTATTACCGACTTAAATATCCGCGGAATGGGTCGACGGACCGACGGCAGCGGGAGCCAACATGCGGCCGAACGGCACTACGACAAACTTGACCAGACGCAGAGAATCACTCCTCGGTCAACACAGCCACACATCGGCCTAACAAAACACCCGCACAGACACACGCGGACAGACACACCCACACGTGTCACAGTCTCTCACGCCGGCCGGCACAGACATGTAAAAAACACACACCGCCGGGCGCCGCGGCGCGCCGGTCCTTCGGACACCGGCGGCCGCACAGTGCACGCCCCGCGCCGCGGTCACGATGAAACGAACGCTGAGTATGTACAGATGTCTGGCGAGTGCCCGGCCGAGCGGTGCGCGGCGCAGAGACACTGACCGTCGGGGGCGCTCGCCGGCCGGAGTGCGCGGGTGACCCGGTCTCACGCGGTTAGAGCACGTGTGTCTCAGTCGTCGTCCGCCTCCTCCTCCTCTTCGGCGCCCGCCTGGTCCAGGTCGTCATCGTCACCCTCCAGACCCTCGCCTGGGGAGCAGGGGCCGCGCCGGGTCAGAAGGTTACACCGGGACCGGGACCATCGCACTTCCGAGCCCAGACACTCAGCTAGGGACCACATATCGTTAGCCACTGACGAAGTGTCGGTAAAGACGCTAATGGGCACTGACATTACAATGGCTCGAAAAATAGATGGTAAGATATTTCTTATTTTAAGTAGGTAGGTGGACCACCTCATTAAAATTAACAAAATATGAAAGACATGCAACAATTATCTAATATTTATCGATAGATGTTTCGACAGCAACAAGACCAGGCTTCACGACGCGATAAAGAAGCGTCACTCACCGTCCTCATCATCGTCGCCGTCCTCCTCCTCCCCCAGCTCATCCTCCCCCTCCACGACGACCACGTTCTCGTCAACGTCCTCACTGAAAAATGGAGACGACACACGTCAGTACGGCACTGAGGAGGGTATGTCGGATGGGACGACACGTCGGCACTAAAAGTACGTCGGACGGCCGGATAAGTCACACTGATCTAACAGGATCAGTACACTGATTTAGCATTCGAGTTAATTAAGCACTTTACTGTATCAAATCGAACATTTCGTTACACTGTCACTGGACATTTTTCGGTTATCTTTTTTATTACTTCTATGCACACATTAATCATGGCACTGCACTTTTAACGTCTCCTGCTTAGGTTTACATTGCGTTTAAGTGTAAAACGTTGTTATCGCACAATATGACCCGTTCCCGCCCGATAACGGTTCCAGTTTCCACTCCCCTCATCGGACGGATAAGTAGGTACTCACTCCTCCTCCTCCTCGACGCCATTTTCCACCTCGATGTCGGGCACCAGGAAATACTGCAGCGGGTTCGGCCACATGTCGTCCTTGATGACCTCGGCGATCTCGTCCTGGGACGGGTCCTCGTGATCCTCGAACCACAGGAAGAAGGACTTGACGTCCAGGCCGCGCTTCCGGCCCTGCTTCAGCTTGGCCATCCGGCTCTTGGCGTTCTCGACCAGGTTCATCTTGTCCTTCCACTCGATCTTTGTCGACTCAGATCGGGGTTCTGTGAACGGATCTGTTTCTATCATGGTGTTAGAGGAAGAAGGATCCTGACTCTTCCAGGCGCAGTTCCTTCAACATACACCTGAATACAACCAGCATTAATGCTAAGCTAGCAGTATCCCCACAAAATGATACACTACATTTAATAGGCATAGTTATCAACCACGCATGCTCTAAACCTCACACCTTTCCTCTCCTCTTATTTAACAATTACTACTTAGATTACATATAACACATAGACCTGCATCTCATCTTACCTGATGAGCCAAGGTGGAACTCTTTTTGCAGCACCTCATTCTTGAAGTAGGGGTTGCTTGAGAAATGGAACTTGATCCTATATCCAGACTTGATGTCATCAAACTCTTCAACTTCCAGCTGGGTCATGTAGTGAAGACACTCTTCCTCTTCTTCATCTAATAATGCTGACACTTGTGGATGGTTTACAAACTGATGCATATGGTCAAGGAATTATGAAACAGACACTTTCAAAGCAAACATAGCAGCAACAAGCACAAACACTAGTAACATACACATTCATGCACAACCTTCAAACATGGGGGCACATGGTACCTACTACCTAGTACCTATAGTGTGTGTAAAACCTTGACCTTGGTCTAGCAGATGATGAGAAACATGCATAAAATACGTGCTTAGAAGTGATCTTTCATCCTGATAGAATAATCTGGCAAACAAAGTGATGTTTTATTGCTCAGATAGGAAGGCTCTTGAGTCTTGAAGAGACTGATATTCCCTCATTATTACAGTAAATATCTGATGACAAAATTGTATTAGAGTTCAGATAAACAGTGGAGTCAGCCATACATGATTACTGGGATGCATCCCGCTTTGACATCCCAGACTAAGCTCATCCTATGTCTGTCCTCATGCACGGAGCTCAATGAGATCAGGACCCAAACAGGCCAAGTTTGGCCATCTAAATTCCTGTACCTGGTAAGGTAAGGTAAGGTAATGTATTTTTTAGGGTGTTTTTAAACTAGAAACCTGTTTCTTCACTGAGTATATTTTACAGAGTGAATAGGTTCTATGGCTAAGCTGTTTGATTGTCCTCATCAATATAAAGGTTTTACCTATTTCTTACAAGCTCAACATTGGATGCCTAACGTGTTGACTCTTATAATTGACTTTCATTTTAAGTGAAAAATGAACATTGTTTTACCTACAACACTTATACAGAATAAAACATGAAACAGAAAAAAACCAGGAAATGGATAAATACGAGCACACACAAGCGTCTAATGATCTGATCGTCATGCTAAAAGACATGCTAGATTTTGAGGGAAGAAGTCCCTAATCCATGATGGATGAGATACGTAGTCAGAGCTTAGCACCGGCCTAGCATATTACTCATATCATCCATCGTTTCACAGATGAGATCGACCACGTTGTTGAAACAGACGAATCCGGCGCAGTTTACCGGTACTTTGAAATAAAAGGATACTGCCGTAACCCAGAAATTAGGGATCTTCTGGATGATTTTGTTCCTCTTCTCAAAGAATGGTTTCCTCATCTTGTTGTACTTTTGCTCCACTTTGAGAATCTCTTCGCTGGCTTTTTCGTTCAGGGAGTCGATTTCATTTTGACACCCATCAATCTCTTCGATCGCTTTTTGTGATTCAGCATCAAAATCCTTGCCGTCTTCTCCATCACCTGACTCGTCCAATTTCCTAGCTTTGGCTGGTGGAGGGGCTTCCGTAGACATCTCTGAGAGCCTAATAATACCAAAATTCAAACCAAACACGCAGGTACCAACGGAATGCACGCCGTACGCACGCCGCCCTCACACTCAAGGTTCAAGACGCCTCAAATTTTCCGGCCACTTTGAATTTTCATGGATAATGACGTCATAACAAATTTTCCGTTTTCTTCGCATATTTTCCGGCTCAGTTATGATAGTCATGCTGTAATATAAGTCTGTTTGAGCTTTTTGTATATTTGGCTACATTATTGAAATCTTTTTGGACATAAATCGCCAGAATCGAATCATTCGGAAAGCTTAGTGTCTGACATAAGATTGAAGTAAATTGAGCAGAGAGCTTTCGATTGCGAGTGTTTTTTTTTTTTTTAACAAATTTGGTCCGAATGGCTGAATGGGCGGATTTGAGGAATCAGAGCCCGCACTAAGCATAGCTCAGGGGGTTCGCTCCCGTGCCTTCGGGGGACTATTAAAGCATCCAAGAGCGCAGCATCCAAAATACGCAACATCCAAAACCGCAGCATCCAGCGATCAAAACCTCCAAATAACATCCAAAATCGGCCCTTTTGGGTGCATTCAGATCATCCAAGAGTGAAACATCCAAGGATGCAGAATCCAAAACCGTATCATCCAAAATGGCAGCACGAGAATACCTGAGAACCGTATCATCCAAGGACGGCTCATCCAAAAGCGAAACATCCAAGCATGCAACATCCAGAATCGTATCATCCAAAACAATACAGAAAAGATGGAGCCACTCAAGAGACTCAGTAGCGCCACCTAGCATATGTATTATAAACTATTAGCTTTCGGCTTGCTTGATAGGTGGCGAATGCGTCGTGTTTAGCGGCACATCGTCACAATATGACGTCACTAGGTAATATGACGCCACTAGGTATTCTACAGTGGATCCCCATGATATTCATATACAACCGGAGCCGACGCATATTTACGTCTGGACAACGTGTTGCGGGGAAAAGTGCTGATTTTGTTGCAGTTTTAGGAGCCGGTGATTAGGCTGGATTTTTGGGTTACTTTTTCGTTCCGATTAATGTATTTCATTGTGTTTGGCTTTTGAATATTTTAGTTCTTTCAGATAAATATTACTTGCCTTACAACTTTTGTAAAAACGTTTCATTTTTTATAAGCCGACGTTCAGAGTCCTAAAAATACATCAGCACTACAATCATTGTAAACAAACAGGAGCACCACTTGGCGCTGTTCCAAGGCCATTTTTTAGTGTATTTGGTGGTTTTCTTACTCTTGTACGTCGTTTTGTTGGATATTTTGAATATTGACTTATATCATATTTAAGAAGCATGTTGACTGAAAACAATCCGAAGTATCCAGGAGGCTGACAGAGCTCCTGACTCCTGAGCAATATCAATATCAAGTTGAACAAGTTATGAAATTTTGGTTGATAAACGCAAGGTGATCGGGCTCATATATCAGCAAGAAAAAGTAAAATTTAAAGAGCTTATTGGCCAAAAACAAGCTATAATATTGCAGACCTTGGAGCAATACCTACTGAAGAGCACGCTGAGCAGCTGATCATGCCAGAAAATGTTGACTGATGAGCGCATATTTATGTATTGGTATGGATATTGAATGATAACTTACAACAGCAAGATAAATTAGTGCTAACTTTCAAGTTAAAAATCTAGAATGAATGGACTTGGGCAGCTTAGATGTGTCATGCTATGCAGATTGTAATGTGCATCAGGTACTCAGTGTCTGGCAAATGAAACATGCGATCATTCCATTGCTACTGGAGGAGAAAGCTTGGATCACTAAATCCACTTTATGTTGATTTTGATGTTAATCATCACTGTATTTCTTGAAAAAAGATTGTAGTAGAATTGTCAATGTGACAATCCATGCAACGATGTGATCATATAATGTGTTCATAGTCATTCGTGATAGTGATTATTGGTCCAATATACAATGGCAAAGCTCTCAGTCTCAGCGTTTCTTCCTGTGGATGGCCAGCAGTGACTCAGAGCTTAGAAGTATTAGTTTTCTTCACAGGGCTGGGATAAAAAGTACTGAGGGTAATCTTCCACCAAGGAACTCTACTTTGACATGGTATGAGATGTAGGCACAAGTAGGTAGGTGCTTAGTTCTTATAGTCAGTAGTTGTGTATGTTTAGTCGGGTTAGCTTAGATTAGATTGTTAGTTTTTTAATTTGCCAAGTGTCCATAAAAATGTGACCTGAGCAATGAGCATACTCCTGACTAACCTGACAGCTGACCTAACCTCAATCATCACACATATTTGCAGCCTACCCAAGACCTGCATAGCAGTAGGCAGTAGCACCCAGTTATAGGTAGGTACTCACCCTAACTCAATCTTACCTGCTAACCTTCAACTTGCCAAAAGTTAGCTCACATTGCCAAGCTGCATCCAGGGAAACAGTCAACTGAGGAACTGGCTCATTGGGTGGCTGGTGTGAGTCTGTGCACTTAAAGTGTTTCTTCTCTGAAGCTGCTCTGCACTGCTGTATCATGTCATGTTAGATGCTCAGAAAATGTGGGAAATGATTACTAAGCTACTTTAGTGCTTTGTTAATGCTCGAGACATGAACAAGTACAGATCCTGCAGGGTACAGCTGTGAGTTAGGTGCTAGGTGAGTATGTTATGTGAATGTGCTGTTCCCTGTTTGACCATAGTAAGCATACAAACAAGCACAGGGTCACAGTTATATTCAATCTCCACATAAACATACAACAAAACGGCCATATGGCCTAACTCCGAACACACCACAGATAACTTAAGCCTTTGCAGGCACAAAAATGTTTTGATTAACAGGACAGGTATACAATATATCCTCTGCCCTTGGGGGATCTTGCTGCCAAGTTGAGGTACGATGACTTAACTTCTGGATTGATCAACCTTTTCTTAGCCACTGCTTATATACGAGAAAGACCAAATGCTTGTTTGTTTTGATTTACAGGACATGTATACAATATATCCTCTGTCCTTGGGGGATCTTGCTGCCAAGTTGAGGTACGATGACTGAACTTCAGGATTGATCAACCTTTTCTTAGCCACTGCTTATATACGAGAAAGACCAAATGCTTGTTTGTAAACTGCGTTGAAAATTTAATGATCCACCTTCAATTCTGACATGAAGACACAAGAAGAAATAGTTCCCTCTCCTTTTGGAATACACAAAGCAAAATATTTAATAAATTTTAGTGGATGGACAAGAGCAATTAGCATAACTTCCCCTCAAGTTAACTTCTGGCGGTATCTTGCTTCTGGCACTGATGAATTACACACTGACGCTTATTCGCTTCATATTTTGTAACAAACGCGCTAAAACTGCAATATAACAGCACTATATGCTTCTTGACAAAATACAATAGAAGTAAAAATTTAGCCCTGATGGCATTCATTCTTGGTGGAAACGTAATTACAAAATATTTTGTAGTAACTATTAAATTCCAGCCGAAAACAGTCCACGGTTTAAAAAAGAATCATTCCAATGACGGTCCATTCTTGCGGTCCTGAAATCGCCACTATTTCCGGCCTTTCCAACGCAACTCGTTGTCCAGACGTAAATATGCGGAGCCGACTGCCGGTGGCTGCTCTGTGCTCTCTCCGCCGCCGCCGCCCGCCACTCTGTCTCCCGCCAAATAGCTGGAAAGCGCGGGAACCAATAGCGCGCCAAATCGGCGCGCCGCGTGCTAGCTCTTCGCTCGCTAGGTGCAGCTGAACTTGGCGCCGGCTGCGCGCCGCCTGGCAACTCGTTGCTCGGCCGGTACAGATGCACTTAACAAAGCAATGAATTGCGAACAGAGCTGTTAGCTGTTGGCGCCTGGTGGCATTATCGAAAGGTTAGGAGGTCGATGGTATTTGGTTTGATTGATAACTAGGTAAGTTATTCGTTGAGGTTGCAGGCGGGGCGTCGCCACGGATTTTTGACTGGGGGGGGGGGACGATCGACAGACGTGAAATCTAAAAAAAGAACAGATAAATACTGCTCTCCGCTTTCTTTTCAAAATCGCTGCATCACATGTTAAACCCGCGCCTGACTTTTCATAACGTGACTATCTGAGGGGACAGGGGGGTACAGTCTGTCTTAAAAGTACCGCGCAAAGTGACGGTGGATCCATCGAGCCTCACTGAGCAAGAGCCTGCTAAATTTTGGTCACCGAAGCAATTGACATCCTCGTCCATTCCCTAGGTCAATTGGTCGGTGACTTTCAAATTAAAGCAGGCCCTTCCTTGGTCAGGCTTGATGGATCCACCCTCACTTTGCGCGGTACTTTTAACACTCGCCCTGGCAGGGGGGGGGGCGATGCGACCCCCCCCCTAAGGTTTTTCGAGGATAGCGTAAAAACGGCGGCGCGCAGCGCCGCCAAATTTGGCACAGCCTATGGGGCAACCTTTTTACATGTGACCTGAAAATTTCAGGTCCGGGTGACCTTGGGTCAGGTCACCAGGTCAGAAAAACCGGTACAAGGTCATGGTCAAATTTCAATTTTCTTTTTGCACCTGTCCAACTCACAGTTTTGCACTGATTTCCTTCAAACTTTCAGGATGTGCTAAGTTCACCGAGTTGTATAACATATAGTTCGGGTTTTTTGAGGTCACTGACCTGAGGTCAGTTAGAGGTCATTACGTCGTAATGTTAAGCCTATGGGAAAATACTGAATTCGGAAAATACTGGAGATATCCGCTTCGTTCTATCACTTTTGTGCTTTGAAACCACAGTACTTAACAGCAGGTCACTTGGTGCTTCTTTGTTTGGTGTACTTATCCATGGGTCAGGTCAAATGAGGTCAACTGAGGTCAAATGACGTTTTTGCCAATAACTTGGCACATAATGACGCTAGAGCTTAAAAAATGGTATCATTGTGTTCCTGGTGATCAGCCGAATCGAATGATATGCGATATGATGTAATTTGGTTAACTTTAACTTAATTCATTAATTTAAGTTCTACTTAGAATTTAAGAAAAACTTTAAGTACACTTAAGCAAGTTAAAAAGTATATCATTCGACGCGCCTTGACGTGCTGAGTTCACTGGTGTTTTTCTTTTTGCTCTATCTTAATTAGATCAAAAGTTATAAGCGAAAAACTTTTGGCCTGTTTTAAGCGAAATTTTTACATTTATACCCCCCAAAACCCCCCTAAATATTGACCTAGAGCAACCAAATTTGCACAAGGGCGAGAACTCCAGGGGGCCCACCTACCTACCAAATTTGGTGTTTCTAGGTGCCATAGGAGCCAATCGCGAGGGGGGGTCGCATCGACCCCCCCCCCTGCCAGGCCGTGTTATGAAAAATGCCCTGCCAGGGCGAGGGTTAAGACAGACTGTACATTGGGCTAGGAGAATACACAGGGCTGTACCAGGGGAAGCCGGGGTAACCCCGGGCGCGGGGGAAGCCCGGCCACCCCGTTTCCGGCTAA